TACATGTGTCTCTCATTTTATTATGTTTTCTATATGTTTTCATAGTGCAAACTAATAGAAGAAAAGCCATTTTGGTTAAGGCACCAGGCTGGCAAATTGGAGAACTTTTAGTCCCACTTTAGGTACATAGCCAGCTGGGTGAACTTTAGCAATTCATTCTTTCTCAACCCTAGGAAGAAAGCAATACTAAACCACTGAAATCTTGCCAGGAAAACTGGAGGGATTACTCAGAGAGTTGCCAGAAACCAACAATGATTCAAACATGCAAATAAATAAACAAGGTAGCTACTGAATCCATCTGCTTTCTTTAGAAAAAAATGTAAAGTAATAATAAATACCATTATCAAAAACACCACACTAAGGATATTTCTATCCAAGAATCATGGGTCAAATTGGAAATTAATGCCTGATCTTCCATGGGATAATATTATATCAGGCCACTGAGGTATGTCTTCCACTCCAGCTTGAATATTGGCTTGAAAGATAAGGGCAGATAGAACCAATACAGATGCCAAATTGCTATAAACTAAATTGTACAATATTACAAAAAATAGTAATAGTAAACTTTCATTATTTCTCTATTTTTGAAATTTAGCCAACATCGCAAGGCAAGATATTATGACATCATAATATCCTTACTCTAATAAATGTTTATTATCTGCTATGAATTGAATCATGGTTCCTCCAGTACTCAGACTTTTTCTCAAAATACAACTACAATCTTGCAGTTGCTACAAATACATAACATACTATTATTGGATATGACCACAAGCATGTCACAGCACTGAATTTCTTGACTGTGGGAACAATTTCACCTGTTCTGCTTTATTCTGCTTCAGCTATTCACTTGTTGGATGCCAGCAACCATTATAGCACTGTTATAGTGATAGTACTGCTTTACATCATACTGATGAAACCACACTTCAAATACTGCATCCAGTTCTGGTCACCATGATTCCACCCCCACCCCCCAAATGAGACTCTGGAAAGTGTACAAAGCAGAATAACAAAGATGATAAAGGTCTGGAGATTAAATAGTATGACAAACAGTTGATAGGTCCAGCCTATCAAAGAGAAGGATAAAGGGGAACATGAAAGCTATCTTCCAGAATTTGAGGGGATGTTATAAAGATCCAATATCCTTTATGCCCTATTAAACAAAAATATACACACAAATGATACAGAAATGTTTTCTAAATGTGAGATCAACTGATTCCAACATTTATTCTTCATATTAGCCTGTTAAAAAAAGACCACAACAGCACTTTTTTTAAAAAAAAAAGCTGCATAATTTCAGAAAAAAAATTAAATAGCATGTTAACAAGAACAGTAATAAGATACAGGATCTCAATATTCATAATGACATTAACATTTCAAATAACTTAACTTTTCTCCTCAGTTTTATTACAAATAAAGGAATTAATAGAAAATAAAAAATACAGCTTGAGAAATTGAGTGGTTTTGGAACATAAGACTTACACAAATGATATAAAGACATCCATTTGAGATTAATATATTTCTTAATGATAAAATGTTACACAATTTAGTTAAAATTGCATTATTCACAAATCTGAAAATCAAGAAGAAATGTTTTGCCTTCATTTTGAATGTGGAGATGGAAAATGGAGATTTGGGTATTGTGGTAGTATAACTGACAGTTCATTCAGTCTTTCTCTAACAAAATGTAAAGGGGAGATATCTTGTTTCCTTCAGATGAGAAAATACATGCTTGCTTAGAAAATGAAATGCTAAAAGGAAGATGGATGGCCTGACTTTCCGACTGCTCCCCTTCCTAGATGGGTTTATGGCCATCCAAAAGTCATCTGGATCATTCCTTGATGCTCCCATTCAAATCCAGGGAGCAGCATTGCCAGAAAACCAGCTCTGGCAGCAAAATGAACAGATCATCGCCAGGAAAAAGAAAAGTTCCTACTGCTCAGCAGCCATCTTGAAGGGTGTATAATTAATTAAGAGTTATTATGACATCATTTGTTGCTGAATGATGGCTCAAAGCTTCAGTGATATTCCAAGAAAAAATAAGGACGTTTCCAATTCTCTGTGATTTCCAAGAGAGCAGTACAAAATTCTGGAGAAAATAAGAACATATAAAAAATATTGTTTAGAGTTTAATATTTGAATTTATATGACCTCTGGTTAATGAAGGAAATGAAAAGTCTAATAAATAATGAATAAAGATGAATTTTCCATCTGCTAATAGAGTTTTCAAAACATAGCATGTTTACTATCTATGAATGTGTTGCTCCACTCCCCCCCCCCACATACTGCAAGAATTCTACAGGTGTTTATTCAACCCCCCCCCAACAGGTCCTCAGAAAGCACCCCCATTGCACAGGTGCTGATTCCAAGCTCAACGTGGCAAGAATCACTGGGTAATTGAGTCCAACAGGCACACACAAAGTCTAGGAAGGCAGTCCACTATTCGAACAGGTCAGGATACACAACATGAGCACACATTGCTCCAGCAATGCTCAAGTCCTCACAATGGCATTAAGTAGGCGATATTAGTGCAGCCCTTCATGAAAAGTCAGGTTGCCTTCTTGTGAGTAGTCTAGCTGACCAGTGTCCTGCCTGTCTTCTCTCTGCTCTACATGTGCTTGGATCAGGAGGAGGTGTGGATTTTACTTCCTTCTCCTGTTGACAGCTGTTCCTATTCTTCTCTGGAGCCTCCTTGCTGCAGCTGTGGCTTGCCTCAGTCTTTTGCTCATCCAATTGACCCAGGTGAGGCTGCTCTATCAGGCTAGCACTCTCTGAGCCCTGATCCTGACCAACACTCAGCTCTATGCTTTCCCTCTGCCAACTCAAACTCACTCTCCTCCTCTGAACTTGTGTCCAGAGAAGGGTCCGGAGGCAGATCCATGACAATGAACGCCCTATGACTTTTAAGAAGAATTAACAAAATAATGCAAACAGAACAATCAGTCCTCCAACAATAAACTCTGAACATCACAACAATCTCATGATGAAATATTATTATAAGATCTCCTTTAAAATTGATAATTGAGTTGCATCAGAAAATAAAAAAGCGATTAATCCAGAAGAATAAGCTTCTTCAGCACATCTGAGAACTGAAGAAGCTTCTTGGATGAGAAGCGAAATGTCTGCAAAGAAAAAAACCAAAACCCAGTTGCCTTTAAAAAAAACATTTTTGAGGGTCTGGTTTACTAACAGGTTTATTAACAAAACAAAAAATTAACTGATAATATCTTGTATCTCTTTTGGGGTGAATGATGAAAGGATAAATGATTATATTTCCCCCCCTTTATTTAAACACCCTATATTAAATAATTAATGTAAGTTCAAAAACACTTATTAGTTAAGAAGCATCAGTGACAATCCTAAAACGATTAAGCCTATTTGTGCAAAAATGAAGTTATAATCCACATTATGTCCTGAATTCCACAAAAACTAAATGATCAATCACTGAGTTAATAATAAATATAATCAAATAAACCTGCCTCGATAAGTTGCTGAATATATCCACATGCCTTTAAAAAAAGTGATTTTTAAAAATAAATAATTGTGATTTTTTTTTTTTAAAAAAAAAGATAATTACAATAACTGGAAGTAACTTCAAGATAATCCAGGACCAAGAGGTGGAGAGTGAACATATAGAACAGACATGTTAAACACAAGGCCCGGGGGCCAGATGTGGCCCGCAAAATGGTTTCATGTGGCCCACGAAGCCATCCTGGAAACAGTGAGGGAATGGCCCCCGCTGTCTTGGCCCTGGCCTAGGCCGGCTGGGCGCCAATGTACAATTTTGTGGTGGCCATCTATGCTGAAATACATTCAGTCTTAGCTCCACAAGACCATCTGGAAACAGCGAGGAACCAGCCCCTGCCGCGTCAGCCCCACCCCCTGGGTGCATGCTGGGGAGGTGTCCCCCTTTATGAGGAATGAAGAAATGCACCATTGCCTGGAAGTGGCCAGAAAATGGCCCTCGCTTACTTCACATATCCGACTTGATGGGCTCTGCCCTGGTCCCACTCCTTTCTGCCAGAGACCCTCAGATCTGTCCCACTCCTGCCCAGGCCCCCACAGGCATCCTTGATGTGAATGATGTAGAGCTGGCCATGCCCACCCAGTAGGCCACACCCACTCCATCCACGCCCACCCAGTAGGCCGCACCCACCCAGCCTCCCAAGGATAACCGCAATGCTGATGTGGCCCTCAATGAAATTCAGTTTGACACCCCTGATATAGAAAGAAGGACATAAAAAATATAGCCGATAGTATAGGTCACTTGGTGTCATCTGTATCTAAGCGTGATCCTGCAGATTTTCAGGATTTATTTTCTTGGGGGAGGGGACATTATTCTTCCAAAGTAATAAACTACAAGCAAAAGAAACAATTCAGGGGAAAATAATTAATGGAGAAATCTTTTTTGAGGCTAGCAATTTGTTTGTAGATTAAAGCTTTATAGAAAGTCAGATAATCAACAGCAAGCAATCTCAGTGGGTCACTGAAATGCCTGGGGAAGTCACTTTAGGGACACATCTGTTTATTGTGGAGAATGCTAGTGTTAAGGTTAGTGATAGCTGGATACCTATGAGTTGAAAATCACTTGTGACAAGTAAATTCATAATAACATAATAATCCCTTGTACAAAGCAGTATGCACTTACTGGCAGGGTCTCCAGGTGTTTCAGACTTTAAAAGAGATGGATAGAATAGTTCTTGTAATCTATGTTTCACCACAAGATGGAGCTTCTGGTAACAAGACTGATAGCTGGACAAAACCTGTTGGAAAGTGCTTCCTTCCTATACCAATCCTTGTGAAATTTTCATTCATTAGATAAAAAGGGAGAGATAACACAGCCCTGGTGGTTCATTTTGGATGAGACTGTTGGTTCTAAATGGAGTAAGGTCACTCTGAATAATAAAGTTGGGATTTCTAATTATAACTGATCCAGCGGAGGATACAATTGCATGATTTCCTGATTATGTTCTTATTTTTGGATATTTGCTGAACTGAAAAAAATGTTAGTTGCAGAAAAAGAAAATGAGACAGCCATCACCGAATTTATCTTCTTAGGTTTGGGAAATCCTGGTGAACTACAGCCTTTTCTTTTCATGCTTTTCTTGGTGATTTATCTTGTGACAGTAACTGGGAATCTTCTCATCATTATGTTAGTTGTAGCTGACCAACACCTTCACAGCCCCATGTACTTCTTTCTGGGGAATTTGTCTTGCCTTGAAACCTGCTATTCCTCAACTATCTTGCCAAAAATGTTGGCCACTTTGTTTACTGGAGACAGAATAATAACTGTAAGTTGTTGTCTAACCCAGTATTTTTTCTTTAGCTGTTGCATAGCAACAGAAACATTTCTCCTTGCAGCAATGTCTTATGACCGTTACTTGGCAATTTGTAGACCTTTATTTTATGCTTCTATTATGAGCAGGAAGTTTTGTTTCCAGCTTATGGCTGGGGCATGGATAAATGGTTTGATAGTTAATAGCATTGTTGTGTTTCTGCTAGCCCAACTTTCTTTCTGTGGATCCAATATAATAGATCATTACATTTGTGACTTAACTCCATTGGAAAAACTGACTTGCAGGGACCCGACACTATTTAAACTCATTGTTCTTCTCTTGTCCTTCATTTTTACCATTCCTCCATTTTTACTGACCTTCAGTTCTTACATTTTCATCATTGGCAGCATCATAACAACTCAATCTACCCTTGGAAGGCAAAAAGCTTTTTCAACCTGCTCCTCTCATCTCGTGGTGGTTTGTCTTTTTTACGGCACATTAATCATTGTCTATATGTTCCGAGATTCCCCCACTATGAAACATCTCAATAAAATTTTCTCTATTTTTTACACAATCCTAACTCCTCTGGTCAATCCTCTCATCTATACTTTAAGAAATAAAGAAGTTCATAAATCCTTAAGGCGAATGTTTAGAAAATGTTCATATGCTTTGGGAAAATATCCATAGAATTCTTTCCTTGCCTTTAGTGATGAATGTAGTTGCTAAACCAGATTCAAGCATGTTTTTCCAATCAAAGCTGCTAATCTATATTTGAGGTTTCCTTTTCTTCTAGGACTGCAAAGAAGCTGATGGTTGGAGTGATGTTTACTATCTATTCTCCCATGAAGTTTTATAATTGTTACATTGAACTTTACACATTGACTTTTCTTTTCAGCTTGGAAATAAATTGCTCAAATATAAAAGAATCAGCAATTTTATGTTTCAGGATTGTAAAATAAATTTGCCTGTATTAGCAAAATAGAATTATTAGTTTTGCAACAACAGCAATAATAGAGGGTATACATACCAGAAGTTTAACTAAATTTGCACAAGAGTTGTTCTCCTGTGTACAATATATCATGCATCATGGCAGATACAATCATCTACCTATTGGTTTCTAAATGCTTATAAAATATTGTAAATTAGCATATGTAAAAAAGGAAGGAAGTCAACCTCAGCAGTTTATTTTAATTTTTAAAAAATCAACTATTTTGTACAATATATTTTTATTACAATCATTAGAAGTAATGGTATTGGCAATACTCAGAATAGGCACATTTTTAAAGCCTAGTAAACTATTCTACATATTCTTTAAGTTTGAGTTCCTAATAAATTAATTTGTTGGAATTGGCTTTTTCTTCCAGTGTTGAGCAAATATTATTCTCACTACTGTAAGCATATATCTCATTTAGTTGTTATGTTTCTTGTTGATTATTTCTAATAAAAAGTTGTGATTTCATTTCAAATTTAAATTTTAAAACATCATGTTATGTGTAACTTTTGCATTATTTTTATTTATACACCACATTTATATACCACATGTTCATTTTATTTCCTGGCATTTCCAACATCTATTGCTGTATGATTTACCTATCTTAGATAATATTGATAGATGATGGTAGTATACCATCAATAACACATTTTATACCAATTTTTCTTTAGCTTACAACAGTGTAAATTGTATAGATTTAGTCCATCATTCTTCCCACTATTGTATAGTAACTATTTCTTTGAAATTTTTATGCATTTTATTGTAATTTTTGTTCCGTGTCAAGTCTAAATAAAAGTTTGTATTTACAACCTAGTAAGTGTTTTGATTTGTATTAGCACTTCAAATTCATTTTTTTCCTTGATGTTCCTCCTTCCTTCTTGAGATCTGATCTATTTTTAAGTAAATCAGCTATATTCCATCTTCCATTAAGTAATTGATCCTGTGTTTTTAAGTTCATAGAACCTGAGTGTACCATGTCTGCATATGCAATAACTGTAAATGTATCCAACATAAAAACATACTTTTATCAAGCTTTGCCTGATAACATGTCCCTTTGTACTTATCCTCCTCTGTATATCTATGCCATAAGTCCATTGGTTAAACCAGCTACTTCTAGAACTGCCATTATGCTATTTGGAGACTTTATTCATTACCAGCAGCTTATTTTGTAGTACAATTTAAAACATGGAAGGGCAAGGACACATCTCCCTTTAGAATTGCTGTGTTTTATTGATTGTTTCAACTGAAACATTTTTCAATTAATTATTTTTCTCCTTTTTTTAAAAAAAGAATTGTTCAATAGTGAAATGGTCGGCATTTAAATTTAATAAATACATAATTTTTTGAATAATACATTTTTATTATGAAATTTCGATGTCTGTACCTGTCCTATACCAAACCAGACAGTTATAGAAGTACAAATGACAAACTCAGCAAATCAGCAGCTCCTGGGACAGTATGAACTTTCTGATTTGCAGAAAGATGAGATGCAGGAAGAACATTCTTGGTTGTGGCTTTTTAATGATGGTTCTAATGTTAGATGTTCATTTCAAATAGAACCTAAAAACTTGAAGGACTCCACTATTGATACTGTGCTATCTAATATAGTAAGAAGTGGTAGAATAGGAAGGCTCCTCCTAAAATCCCTCTCATCTCTACAGTTTTAAGCATTTTCAGCTCCAGATTGATTCAGCTGGACCACAGGGCCAATTGTTTAATTTCCCAACTTTATGCAGACTTACCACCATCTTGAATGAGACTAATGACTGTTGTATCATCTGCAAATTTCAATACTTTAACAGAGGGGTTCTTAGACATACATTCATTGGTATATAGAGAAAAGAGTATTGTAGAGAGTATACAGCCCTGAGAGGCACCTGTGCTAATTGTCGGGGTATTTCATGGGATTTTTCTTAGCTTCACCTGTTGCTTCCTATCTGTCCAAATGGTTATAATCCATGTACAAGTATGGGCAGGCACAACTAGCTGAATCAGTTTAGAGTGAAGAATTTCTGGAATGATAGTACTAAATGCTAAGCTGAAGTCTACAAAAAGGACCCGTGCATGGGTCTCTGGGGATTCAAGATGTTGCAAGTTGTAGTGCAGTGTAGTGCCTTTTATATATGCATTTAGCGGATATAAGTGTGAACATTAATCCCAGCAGACAATAGTATATCCTCTATCCCCTTCACATGGAACTTCTTCAGGAATGGGCAATTTTCTATCACACTAGACAGTAAATGAAGTAGAAAATTGTTGTATTGGTTCAATTTTACTTTCTAACTATGCATCTGTACCAATGTCAGTGAAAGGGGAGTGGGAGAAGCATAAAACAGATGCAGAAAGTACATCCTGATAATTTCTTGTTGGGAAATTTGAAATGTGGGAACAATATCATTATCAACAAAAGGCAGATTTCCCCCCCCAACCCCCCCCAACAAATAGAAATTTGAAGATTGTTCTTCAAAGTTTGGGATATCTTTAAAATTGTTGTGCATGGTAAAGTGATAGAGAATGGCTCATGGTGGAAAAAGATCCATGAAACACCACATAGGACACTTGAATTAACCTGATTCTATAATGACTCTGGTTATAAACAGCATTTCAAATAGACTGAAATTACAATTGATAAAGAAAAAAAAATCTGGATGTTGATTCTGAAACACCCAGGCACAATTGAAAATGGGTCTCGACATTCCAATCATAGCTCCTTGAATTTTTTTTTAAATCAAACCTGTATACTGTTTATCTTGCCAAAGAAGACACTGGTTGGAAAAAATCTGGTTGCCAAAATGTTAAAATGCTCTTAAAACAACTATTGCCAGCACAAGGGACAAAGACTGAAATAGGATTCATACGTTATCATCTGAAAGCTGAAAAATTCAGACTGAAGCAACTGGAATGGAAAACTAAACTCATGTTTTGGGCAAAAAAAATCAGGCATAATACAGAATTAGAAAAATGGCAAAATATTTGGGAAAGAAAAGATAAATTGACAATGGCAACTGCCTATAAAGAAAATTTATATAAAATGTTTTATAGATGGCATTTACCACCTGCGAGATTAGCAAAAATGTTTAAAAACATGTCTAGTAATTTTGGAAATGTAACCAAAAACCGCGTACTATCATCTTTGGTGGAATGCCCTAAAGCAAAAATTTTTGGGATAAAAATACATATTTGGTTAGAAAAAATGTTAAGAAAACATGTAGATTTTAAACCAGAACTATTTCTATTATAATATTGGAAAAATATGATAAAGAAAATGTATATCTAATGTTGCATATATTAAGAGCAGCAAAAATTGTATTTACTCAGCACTGAAAAAATGAAGAAACACCATTTGAAGAAGAGATAATCAAAAAAATACTGGACTGTGCCAAAATGGATAGACTTACACTGAAGATTAAAGAAAAAGAAAATACAGAATATTTTCAAATATGGGACATATTTTATCAATGGCTAGAGAAATGGGGTAGAGATTAGGAATTTAATGTGTATTATTAAGTAAAACAAATGGACTCAGACAACACATTGTTTACCAAGCACCTATGAATTGTAAATATAAAAAACTAATAAAATATTATATAAAAAAAGAAAAGAAAACTAAACCCATGTTTGTGTTCCATTCTAGCAAGGACCAGTTATTCTTTCTCAGCTTTATCTCCAATTGTAGATTCATAGTTCTAATGTATACAAAGCAGGTCACCCCAACGATGCCCTTGACGTGATGGCCCGTTGCCTGGAGGCCGTACGGGTCTGGATGGGGAGGAACAGACTCAGACTCAACCCTTCCAAGACCGAGTGGCTGTGGTTGCCGGCGCCTCGGCATAGTCAGCTGATTCCATCGCTGTCTATAGGGGGCGAAATTTTGGCCCCCTCAGAGAGGGCACGCAACTT